CCTCATTCTGCTTGACTTTTCTAAAGCATTTGATACTATTGATCACTCTCTCCTTCTCGATATTCTCTCCTTCCTTGGATTCTTTGATATTACTCTCTTTTGGTTTTCCTCTTACCTTTCCAGTGACTATTTCTTGGTGTCTTTCAATGCTTCTTCTCCACCTTCTAACCCTCTAAATGTGAGCATTATCCACACTTCTATCCTCAACCTTCTCTCTACATTCTCTTTTGGAATTTCAATTGCCAAGGGGTTCTTATCTCTATGCAGGTGGCTCCTGAATCTATATTTTCATCCCACACATCTTTCCTGAGCTCCAAAATGTAATTTAAATTGCTTGTTAGACATGCCTACCTTGTTATCTCACTGGAACTTCAAACTCAACATATCCAAACTTGAGTGGGGTAACATTGTATGTTAAGGAGACATCTCTATATGTAGAAGAAATCTAGGAATAAGAATGGGAGAAATGGTGGTGAGCATTTGGGTGAAAATGAACAGAGAGAGAAACATAGGTAATTTTGTCATCAAAGACTACCACAAACACCCTAAACAGGAAGAAGAAATAAATTAGGCAAGCTTGGCAAAGAGTCATGATATAGTAGTGACAGAGGACTTAGACATCTTCTGAAGTTCTCTTTGTCTTCCAAAAACAGAATTACTAATTATTCTTGACATAATGATAATTTCATTCTTCAAAAGGTTGTCACTCAGTCAATAAGCATTTATGAAGTGCTTCCAACCTCATTATTCCATCAAAACTTTTCTAACCAAAGTTACCAGTAATTTCTTTATTGCCAAATCCAAAGACTTTTTTTTATACTCCCTTTCCTCAATCTCTCTGTAGCTTTTGACACTGTTGATCACCCTCTCTTCCTTGATACTATCTTTTCTTTAGGTTTTCAGGACATCACTCTCCCCTGGTTCTCCTTCTGTCTATTGGACCACTCTATCTCAGTCTCCTTTGCTGGATCTTTGTCTCGATCATGTCCTTGAGCCATCAGTATCTCATAGGGTTCTGTCCTGGGCCTTCTTCTCTTCTCCCTCTATACTACTTCACTTGGTAATCTCATCAGCACCCATTTAGTTGCCATCTTTATGCTGATGATTCTCAAATCTACCTATCCTGCCTGTACCTCTCTGTTGACCTTCTGTCTCACACCTCCAACTGCTTTTCATATGTCTCAAACTGGATGTGCAGTAGACATCTTAAACTCAACATGTCTAAAATTGAACTTATTACCTTTCCCTTTAAACCTTCCCCAAGTTCTACCCAGCCTGTAGAGGGTAACACCATTATCTCAGTACCTCAGGCTTTCAACCTAGGTGTCCTCAGATCCTCATTATCTTTTATCCCCCATATCCAATCTATTTCCAAGGCTTGTCGAATTCACCTTTGCAGCATCTTTCAAATGTGTCCCCTTTCTCTCCTCTGACCTTGTCACCACTCTGGTGCAGGGCTTCATCATCTTATGCCTGCATTACTGCAAATAGCCTGCTAGTGGGTCTGCCTGCATAAAGTCTTTCCCCACTCCAATTCATTCTCTGTTCAGTCACCAAAGTTATTTTCTATGTCACTCTCCTACTCAATAAATTCTCTGTGGCTCCCTATCACTTCCAAAATGAAATATAAAATCATCTGTCTGTCACTCAAAGCCCTTCATAACCTAACCCCTGCCTACCTTTACAGTCTTTTTACACCTTATTCTCCACCATGTATTTTTTGATCCAATGATAATGGTTGTTCCACAAGCAAGACACTCCAGCTCTTGGTTCTGGACATTTTCTCTCACTGTTCTCTGTGCCTGGAATATTCTCCTTCCTCAATTCTACCTACTGGCCTCCCCAGCTTGTTTTCAGTCCCAACTAAAGTCCCATCTTCTAGGAAACTTTTTCCAACCCCTCTTGATCCTAGTATCTTCCCTTGTTTAATTATTTCCTATTTATCCTGTATATAGTTAACTTGTATGTATTGCTTTGTTTATCACTCTCCACCACTTAGATTGTGAGTTCCTTTATGGCAGTAATTCTCTTCTGCCTCTTTTTTATAACCTCAGTGCTTAGTACAGTGCCAGGCATTTAATAAATGTTTATTTGACTTACTGACTACTTACTATGTGCAAACACTATGCTAAGTAAAGGACTACGGATAAAAAAGAAGTAATAACACATTCCCTGCCATTAAGGAACTAACATTCTAATGGAGGAGACCACCATTTTATGTTAAAAAAAATAGAAGGACATATCAGATACATACAGTGTAAATTAAAGGTAATCTCAGAAGAGAGATACTAGCAGTGGGGCAGGGGTGGTGAGAAGTTGGAGAGGACAAAGAGACTAGAAAAGGCCTCCTATAGAAGGTAGGATCTGAGATGAGGGTTGAGGGAAGCTAGGGGGCAGAATTGAGAGAAGCAGAGCCTTCCAAGCATGGAGAATAGACATTGAAAAGCCACAGAGTCGGGAGATGGAGTATCATGATCCCAAAACGGCAAGAAGGCTACGTAGAGTGTGGATATGTGTAAGAAAACTGGAAAAGTAGGAAGGAACTAAATAATTAAGGGTTTTAAATGCCAAGGAGAGGGTTTGATATTTGATCCTACAGGTCATAGGAAGCCACTAGAGGTCATTGATCAGGGAAGTGACACAGTCAGAGCTGAGTGGAGGATGGATTAGAGGAAGAGAGACCGAAGGCAGGGAGACCAACCAAAGGCGATTGCAGTGGTCTAGGCAGGAGGTGGTAGGGCCTGCATAAGATCAGCAGTGTCAAAAGAGAGGAGCGGGCTGATCTGAGAGATGCTATGAAGGCAGAAACAACAGACCTCAACAACTGATTGGGTATGGGAGGTGAGTGTGAAAAAATAGTCAAGAATGAAAGTGAAGTTGTGAGATTGTATGACTGGGAGAATGGTGGCTTTCTGGATTTGATTCTCACCAGTAGGGTACTAATTTCTGCAAGAGAAAAAATGGTAACCTTGGGGAGAAGTGTGATACTTTCCTCTTAGAATTTGTGATCAAGCAAAGAAAGGCCAGATGTCTTTTGGCATGCACTTTTGATCTGAAGAAAGCAGATTTCAAAGTGTTCAGAGGAAGGATAGGATCTCATCAACTAAAACTGTGCAGAAGTTAACTGATTGTAAAGGGATGAGGAAAGGAAAAAGCATTTATTTAGCACCTACTATGTGCCAGGAACTGCGCTAAGAACTTTACAAATTTTATCTCAGTTGATTCTCACAACCCCAGGAGGTAGGTGCTATTATCATCTCCATTATACAGTTGAGAAAACTAAGGCAGACAGAGGTTAAGAACTTGTTCAAGGTCACACAACTAATAAGTTTCTGAGTCTGGATTTGAATTCAGGTCTTCCTGACCCCAGACTAAGTGCTTTATCTACTGTGCTACCTAGCTGCATACTCTCACACAGGATTTGTCTGAAGAAATTGATATGGATACACTGAGAATTCGCCAACCAACTTAATTTTAAAGATTATCTCTGGAAAAGGGAACCAAGGAAACACAATATGATGTATCCATAAATATGGCATGATCCTGTGGGAACAGGGTGCAGAAGATCAGATTTAGCTAAAGTGGGCAAGGAATACTGAGGATGGGAGAAAGGGTTTGTGGTTATATGTTTGTTTGTAACTGGACAAGGGGACAAGGAGATCAAAGAAGACAGAACCATTGCTTCAGGTGTGTGGGACAATGCCAATCAGCAACCACAGGGCTATGCGTTTTTTTATTTTATTTGCGTTTTCTTTGTGCAATCCAATGACCTTTGCTTAAGAAGAGACACAGAGGACCCAGAGCCCCGAAGCTCTTAATGAATTCAACCTGTCCAGATAAGCCTCAACCGCAGGTACCAAAAGAATTGAATGATGTGATTGCTGAAGGTCTGTTAGTGATATTTGAAAGATTGTGGAGAATAGGAATGGTATTCACAGGACTAGAGAAGGGAATTGCTGTCGCATTTTTAAGGGGGGCAGGGACTAAGGGGAAAAACGGCGACGGAAAGAGAGAGCAAGAGAGAGACAGACAAAGACAGAACTGTATAAATTATAAGCCAATAAATTGACTTCATTTCTTGGGGAAATTCTTGAATCTTACATTTGGTTCAAGAAATTAACTTTCCAAATACAAGATTAAGGAAGGCATACATAGACAGCAGTTGATCTCAAAAAGATACAAAAGTTTTAGTAGACCTCAAGCTTGATTTGAGTCCATAGTATAATGTGGCTGACCCTTATGCACGTGCTCTCTTGTGATAGCCAGATATGGATTACTGGATTACTTGCTGTTTGAAGACTTTCTCTTGTATTCTTCTACCTTTGAGTATGCATACATATATCATCCTGCCACATCTAGAATCAACTTACTTAGCATCAATACTGAATGAAAATTTTTAAGGGCCTGCTCAGGCACATAGTATTACATGATTCTTATTCCTTCTTTGTTTTATTTAATTGAATTGAAACTAAAGTATTGAAACAGTCTTGCTTATTATTATTTTTATATAATTATATGTATTTACACATCAACATCATTGAAACTGAAATGACCTAGAAATTTTCACCATTTTTTTCAGAATAAATTAAAAGTTAAGGTTTTTTTCAATACATTATGAACTAGTTATTCCATAGATCTAGTTATTGAAATAAAAATTGTTAACACAAGATGGCAGTAAACAAAATTTTTTTTAAATATTATTTTAAATATTGTAGGGTTCCTAAAATGTAGTTAAGGGAAATTTGAAGGAACATTTGTCAAGTGATCAATGTTGGAAATTAAAGAAGTTTCAGATTTACATCAAAGCTCAATTGTGTTCAGCTTTAGTAACTTAATTTCAATAACTAGCTCCATAGTTATATATTGAAATGCTTATGCTTTGCAGGATTTGCCAATTATGACAAATTGTTAAAGTAGTGCATTTGAAAAAAGAAATGAAGCCAAGTTATGGTAGGAATAGCAAATAGACTTTAAACATTAATATTTCCTTTTGTTGATAGTTTTCTAAACTGACAAATAGCTTTGAAAAGCTGAGATTGCACCAAATGAAACAATGTGGGACTCTTAACAAAGATGAAATTCCATTTGAATTGAGCAACATAAACCAAAAATTAGAGGTAAGATATATGTTCATAACTACGTTCATTGGTATTAAAGATTGATTTTTGTTATTGGCTGTTAATATTGAATGTAATGTATGGAATAGCTTGCTTATATGGCAGCAAATACCATTCCCAATCAGTCTTGCTCTAAGTATGTTCTTTTTGTTGTTTTTTTTTTTGCTTAGGCCATTGGGGCTAAGTGACTTGCCCAGGGTCACACAGCTATTAAGTGTCAAGTGTCTGAGGCTGGATTTGAACTCAGGTCCTTCTGTCTGAGTATATTCTTTTTAGTTTTATGTCCCTTTGGTGAATTAGAACAGTGATTTGAGGTAACATCTGAATACATCAAGCCATTTTTTCAGAACCAAAACAAAAGTTCTTGAAAGCTTGGAATCTATAGCTGTGGAATACACTTCAGAAACACCCTATTTGTCTGTAATCATTGGGTACTGAAATTTGGATGAAGATATGCAGCAGTTTTTAGGACAGAATTTGGGCTGTACTTTTTTGAAAGATAGTAGCACTTTACAGTGATATTTGATAAACGAGCATACCATGATATTTATGAATTAATGCATTCTGTCCCCCCAAAATCTGCATGTGGCTTTTCTGCCTTGCCAATTCCAATCAATACCTAGAGCAGTGGCATGGTTCTAACATGGTTTCTCAAACATCCATGTTTCATAGAATCATCGAGGCCTTCTAGAGAAATGATATATTCAAATATTTGTGTGCTTTAACAGAATGTAACATATTTCAAAGAGAAGCCTCCAATACTGCTTTTCGAAAACATTGTTAACATAGCGTAATCAAGCTCTGTAAAGTCTCAGTGTTGTGCTGGAATATTATTTGACCATTGCAACTGTGGAGTTTACACAGGTGTTCTTATGGACACCCATAACATTCTTTTGCTCAACATTGTGTTTTTCCCCAAGCCAGTGAATCATGTTAAGCAAGGTATATCATGGATAAAGATCAAGCCAATTATTGTCTATTTCGCTAAATATTCTTATAAGTCTTACATGAAAGAATTAAATAAATATAAACTATACATTACCTGAAGCAGAATCTTAAAATTAATTTTTAAGCTTTTTAAAATTTGACTTTATTTTACTTCTAGAGGTCATAGTTTCCCTATAGAATCATAATCTGGAATCATAGTAAAATCAATGGTAAAAGATGGTTATATAAAAAATTTTCACCTTACATGCATTTGTCTAGATGTAAAGCCACATAAATTAATTGATTACAGGAACAGTTTATGTGTTTATACTTGCTTGTAACTACTTACAAAAAAATAATATTTAGAGCTGAGCTTCCCTGGGTTTAGTGTAAACCTAAATATTCATTTGGTTTGGAAATACAAATTTGTATCATTGGTGGGGGGAAGATTTATTTCATCAGTATAGGGAATTCCTAGTATGGAAACTCCCATAAGCCACGGAGCCCTTGGCCACTTATCCTGGAATGAGATCCTTGGATGGACCTCTGGCTCCAATTCATTTCAACAAATATGTATTAAGCACCACAATGTGAAAGGCACTGGGTCAGCAACTTGGGAATACAAAAATGAAGAGCACAATTCCTGTCTTCAAGGAGCTCACATTTTACTCCGGGTATCTTTTATCCAGGGAGGGGAAGGTGTGGGAAGGGGGAGAGAGGCAAGGCAGGATATAGGACACGTATACCAAAAATGTAATGTTTTCGTTATTTCTTCCCCCCAAAACAAAACAAAGCAAAACCAGTTCTTAGCTGTTGACCAGATCCCAGGATTACATAACTACTGGACTGAAGTCCTGACTACGAGTTTAGAAGATTGAGGTGATCAGAAAGTGCCTGATGGCTAAAAGTCCCATAGTCTGGGCATTTCTAATCTTTTTCATAATCCCATACTCTTATACAGCCTTGTATCATGATTGCTTAGGATATGAATTTAGCACAAAGCTAATTAGCTCTAAGTAATTCAGAAGCATGCCAGGGAATAAAATCTTTTTATAATGATTTTGGTTTCTTCAATGAATTGTAATAAATATTAGTATGCCTTGAAAAATATGAAATGCTTTAGTCCTGCCAGAATTTGAGCTTGTATCTTTAAGTATTCTTTTCAAAATTATGAATAAAACACAGATGATATTGGTCTAGATATAATTCACATAGAAATATCAACTAATTATTAAAATAGAACCTTATGAATAAAACAGATGATATTTGTCTAGATATAATTAATGTAGGAATATCATCTAATTATTAAAGTAGAACCTTTTACTTTGTACAAATGAAGACATTAATTACAAGTTATCTGATTTCATATTAGTAAGAGAGGTATAGTGGAATGAATATTATATTGGGAATCAGGAAGTTCATTTTCCAATATTAGCTCCTCCTGTAGCTAACTGCATGACTAGGCAAATCACTTCCCCTCTCTGGGTCTCAGTTTCCTCATCCTCTGTGTTGGGAGGAACAGAGGAGGGCAGTGGGAAACAACAGTAAGGTAAATTGGACTTTAAAGTTGCTTCCAGCTCTGACATTCTGTAATTCAGCAGGAATATTAGCATTGGGAAGCATTATAGAGATCATCTAGTCCCCTTCCCTCACCTAATAAATGAAGCCTAGAAAGCTTTAGTTACTTACCTAACATTAAATAGCTAAATTGAAGCACATCTCTTCTTTATTTTGTCGTAATATATGCATTTAACAATAATCATAACTAATATTGATAATGCACTTTAATGTTTATAAAGCACTTTACATACTTTATTTCATTTGATCTCCCATGAAGTAGTACAGTTATTATATTATTCTCATTTGCAGATGAGAAAGCTGAGGTTAAGAATGGTTCAGTGTCTTTCATGACCAAGTTCATACTATACATGTCATGAAGCTGAATGGTCATCTCAGGGTTCTTGTGTCCAGAGCTCCCCTGGAAACTTCTGGGGGCTTCAAGGACAGTATGACTCAGTGTTTTGGGCTTTGGGGAAGATGAATTTCCCATGTGATCCTGGTCATAGTATGGCCTGGCTCAAATGTGATCAGAAGCAGACAAGAAGTTTATCATTCCCAAAGGCCCAAGCAACGAACCATATTGTCCTTGAAGCCCCTAGAAGTTTCCAGGGGAGATCTGGGTACATGCTTCATGAGATAACCTCACTGGGCTCATTAAGCCTCGCTACACTAGTAAGTATCAACGATTCAAACCCAGGTCTCCCTTGACTTCAGATCTATCACTTTTCTCACTATAACATGCTGCCTCCTAAAAAAGCACTGAAATTTTAATGAGACCTCATAAAAACTCTGTGCTGTTCAATTTGAAGATGGTTGATAATGGCAGTGACTTGTGTTGGAACTTGTGGATTTATGAGATAAAAATTGAGCAAATTTTATCAAAGGTTATCCAAAACAATTCATTGAAAACCGTGAAACACCTCGTTCTTTTTCTAAGTGTGGTATAGCTTTCATTTTCTAACTCAGTATATTGATTCTGCAACCATATTAAAGTAATGCCAACATATGTTATAGCTGAACCAAACTGGAGCCCTGACAATCCAATAATTTCAGTCATCTTTGTGATTAATCTCAATGACTGTGACCAAATGCACTGGGTAGCAAACTACACCTATTAAGATAACCAATGTAATCAGATCAGCCATGCTGCAGACTGGCCATTTTATGTATAATTGAGTCTATAACCAGACACAGTTACTATGGAGTTTTTTTTTCTACCGTATTGTTGCCATAGTTTTATTTCCAAATTTTAGCAGAAGATCTTTTAATTCTAGAAAGTGGAAACAACTGAAAATAAAATGTCAACTCATTCATTCAGCCTACAAGCATTTATTAAGCACCTACTCAATTGTCCAACACAAATATAAGCACAGTAGAAAATTTAAAAAAGAAAGACGACCCAACCGTTGCTTGTGAGTGACATTTAATTCAAGGAGACAAGATGTTAGGGCCAATCCCCAAAAGAATTGTGAAAGAGGTGAAACTTGTCTATGAGCACCCAGCCAATGTTCCTTCTAAGTTTGGTAGGATATGAACAGATGAGTATGCTCCATGAGCAGACAATAGTGTTTGGCCAATAAATCAATCTTTCCCTATTTAATGGTTCCTTCTCTGCTTCCTACAAACACCCCAATGTCTTCCTCATCCTTAAATATTCACTAGATTCTAAAATCCCTTCCACCTACTGTTCTATATCTCTTCCCACACTCCCCCTCAGCTAAGTTACTTGAAAAAGGCATCTAACTACACTAAATATCCCCTCTTCCTTTCTCATTCCCTTCTAAACTCTTTGTACTTTGACTTCTGATCTTATCTTTCAACTGAAATTTCTTTCTCCAAGGGATCTCTCCCAGTGGTCTCTTAATTGCCAAGTCTAAAAGCCTTTTCTGAATCTTCATCCACTGATCACTTCTTCTTCCTGAATAAATGTCCTTTCTCAAGATTTTCCTGATAGTGCTCTCTTGGTTCTCCTACATATTTTACCGCTCTTTTTTACTCTCCTTTACTGAATCTTAATCTATGTTATGTACCTCCTATGTGTCTGGCCCCCAAGGCTCGGTCCTTGGCCCTCTTCTTTTTTCTCTGCAAACTGTCTCATTTGGTGATCTCATCAACTCCCATGGATTCAATTATCATCTCTACGCCAATCACTCCTAGATCTGTATACCTAGCCTTAGTCTCTCACCAACTGGTTATTGGACATTTAGAAATGGATGTCTTAAAAGCATCTCAAATGCAACATATCCCAAACAGACTTTTTTCCCCAAAAAACTTACCCTAAGACTATTGAGTATTCTCTAATGCTATTCCCTAATACTAATACTATTCCCTAATGCTATTAACCATACAGTCACCTAGATTCACAATCTTGGTGTCATCCCAAGTCCTCACTCTCACTCATCCCATTTATCTAATCAGTTGCCAAATCTTGTTTCTATCTCCATGACACCTCTTACTCACCCATTCCCTACACTCACACCGTCATCTCCCTAATTCAGGCCCTGGTTTGCTTA